ATTTTTAAACAAAATTTCCGTATAAGGAGATTATAATTCTGGCTGGCACTATAAATTAAATATTGTGCGACGTAGATCCCTTACATAAAAGGAAAATTTCCTTAAAAGGCGATTTTCAAATTCAAAATTTCGAAATTTCGAAATTTCAAAAATCTTAAAAAAATTTCCTTTTATGGTAATTTTTTTTTGAAATTTCGAAATTTTGAAATTTTGAACTTTTAAAATCGCCTTATAAGGAAATTTTCCTTTTATAGGATAGATCTACGTTACACAAAACGTCCAAAAAAGGAAATTTGGTAATACAAACTTCCTTATTTGGACATTTGTGTAACGTTACATTGCCATAAAAGGAGATTTTCCTTATAAGGAGAATCTCCTTATAAGGAGATTTTGAAAATTCAAAAATCGAAAAATCAATTTTTCGAAATTTTGGCACTTTTCGTTCAAACGGTACACCGTATATAAAGTTACGAAATTAAAATAATAAATTTCTCATTCTTACAAAAATCAAACTCTTATTCAACGAGAATTGTTCTGTCAACCACTGTTCCCGGACGACAATTGCCCAATTTATAGTGCCTCTTTTGCAATATAATACTATATATTAAGGGATTAGTAAATTTAGAAATTGTAAAATAATAATGGTAACAACATGACATTAAAAAACTTACAATGTTAGTGTAGGTCCCGAATTTCTGTACACACTAGCAAAGACTTCTTTAAGTGCTTTTACTTCATAAGTTTTTACATGTAGAAATTGAGTTTCACCAACTCCATCACGATAAAACAAAATTTTTCTCAGTAAAACTTGATTTCTTTAATAAAAAACACGAAGTAAATTGATTACTATTCCTTTGAGATCTTTAATAATTTCATTTCAAGGATCTTTATTAACACTAAATCTTCCGTATTTGGTAGCTTTTGAATCCAATGAGGCACATACAGCTGCAATACTTGGCCTATTATCACCTCTTCCGGAATGGAAAACATCAGCGCTAAATATCATTGTCGGTTCTGAAAATACAAAATCAATTTGATCGTTGGGTAATATTATGTTTGTCCACCTAATTTTACATTCACTTTCAAAAAGATGTTTGAACAAATTTGGTCAATTCCATTTTTTCTCGCTAATCGTTTGAGTAAAATACATTGAGTTAGAACACCCAATTGCATGTCCCCAATCCTTTTAATTTCTCCATATATTGGACCCGTTGATCCATATAATGATATGTAGAGGATAATTTTTGTTAAACAAAGATTTGTGACAAGCAATATTCAACGCCGTAGTAATTTCGCCTTGAGGATTCGCATACATGACGTAAGGATCATTTGGGATGTCTAAAGACTCAGTCTTCTAAAAAAATAAAAAATAAAAACGTTAGTATACGTTACGTTAAAGAAATATATAGAAACATAAACATTGTCCGATTTCTCACCAAAATCCCACGCGTTTGAAGGGTGAAACGAAGACAAAACCTAAAAAAGAAAGTTTAATAGTTTAGTACCAAAGATGACAAAAAAAACCAACAAATAATAGAAAAAATCTACCTTAATTTCCACAAAAGAGACATTGAAACATAAAAAAGGAAATACTGAAACCTAAAAAGAAAGATAATACTGAAGGGGTCACTGAAACCTAAAAAGAAGCCAAATCTACAAAAAAAAGAAAATCAAAAATTAATGACGAATATGAAGAAATAAAATGGCAAATCTAAAAGAAAAAAATGAACCTTTAATAGAGTTCGTTAAAATAAAGCAGTGTTCGGAAATGACCTGGTCATTTGACCATTTTTCGGATTAGGAGTCATTTGGTCAAATGACACCCCATCATTTGGCATTTGGCATTTGAATTATTCGCGAAATGACAAATGCCAAATGATTGGGTATCATTTGA